GAGAGGATGCTCAAGGGTCTAACAGGATAATATTCGTTAATTTCTTGCATGAGTCCATGTGTTTGTCTACAACAATAGTAAGGAGTTGGTTTAGCGATAACCCACTGGCCAACTGACGGGTTTTAGCGCCCTTCACAGCGTAATAAAGTCTTTCTTAAGTGGTCTAGGAAAGAAAGAGTGGCGGGTAGCAATAAAGATGAATAGGTGGAATACAAAAATTAACAAATTGTAAAAGTGGAAACTGAGTGATACTAGATTGTCTTATTTTCCTAACGAAGAACGTCAGACGAAATATCTTTCCGGAAACCAACATGATGTATGAAGACCAGGAAAGATCAGAGGGAATGCACAGTCCAAGGTATTTAACATTTGATTTAGTTCCGACTTTTGTGCCATCTATGAAAATAGAACCATGCGAACCAACCACTTCATGTAAGTCGCACTTGCGTCTGAGAGTGAAATAAACCACCTGACATTTGGAGGAATTAGGTTTAAGACTAATTGAAGAGGAGCACTTACCCATTTCTAGTAAAAAGTTATCAGTTTTGTAACAGTCTGACTGAGAATTAATGGGCATGGAAACAATCAGATCATTGGCACACTTAGCGAAGTCGGCTTCCTTAAACTCGGCAAGTCATGTAAGAAGAAGGAAAACAGGAAAGGAGAAACCAAAGCACCTTGACGAACATTAGTTACAGTTGATGGAAGACTTCTCATAGTAAACAGTGTACTGCTTCCTATCAGAAAAGTCAGAGTACAATCGTGAGGAAGAAAAGACCGATGAGGCTCGAAGGGATGTTTTTATTAGGAAAAACTGATTGTAGGTACATAAATTTGGTACACCGTATCTCCAATGCTTTATTTACACATCTTTTGGAAATTGGTCGAATATCGCCACATTCGATAGCTTTCTTAGTTCTAAACAGTGTTTCCAACGTTTTTTTCACAGTTCTGTTCTTCGATTGCTTTTTCCAGTGTCGGGAACATATCGCTGCTTTTCTGAAGTCGTTTACTGATATACTACTTGTATCTGGTTATAAGTAGCATTCACCACACAACCACTTACTAAACCAGAATATTGCTTGTGTCAGAGCAAGCAAAAACAGAGGCCTACGTAGAGTGTTCAAGGCAGATGTGTAAAAAAAGGGGGCATGGAGAACATATTCGATGCCTCTGTTTAGGTCGGAGACAATATTATGGCATAAAACAATAGTGGCGTCTACTGTACACCTAATATGTTTATGGTCGTTAAAAGCCTTCAATGAAGGTTTAAGTTTAAGGGAACTCAGGTTTTCCATTATTTTTAAGAATGGCGTGATTATGGCAATATGTCAAAAGTTAACGCTTAGTGCATATTAGTCTCGAATAATTGGCCCGCACGGTCTTATTTGTTCATACAGGTATAGTCTTATGACTGACTCTGTTTTCGTTTTCTGCAGTAATTTTGTAAGGAGGTTTTCTGGTCGAAGGATCTGAGGAATTTGGTAGCATGACAGGTAGTTAGTTTATCAGCATAATCTAATCTGTTGATTACCACAAGGACTATGTAGATTGCCTATTGTGCATAAGGAGGATTTCGCACTTCAAACTATCACAGACTTGGTCAACTCATCATGTTTTTTCTCTGTTTGCATCTTATCAGGGAATTTTCTGTTGAATAAGATTTTAGTATATGTCCTATCTAACCAGATTGCAAATGTGACATTTCGCTCATATTGTAGCTCAGTTTGGAGTCCACATAAATACTAATTTTATTTGTGTGACATTATGTATAAATCCAGATATTCCATAATCTTCTTGTTGGTCAGTCCAACGTATTCCTGTCTTTTCACTCCCTGTGCACAGTCTGACGCAGAATCCAGTCCACCACAATTAAGGACATCATCGGTAATATTGGTCATGAGAAAAACAAGGACGAAGAGTAACTCAACAACCAATCACAGCAGACTTCACGGGGGCGGATACGATTCGCAGATATATGATCTGACGTTCAAGGAAACGGCCACGAAGAAATGACAGATTAAATTTCATCGAGGAAGCAACCAACCAGAAGACGCTTTTCCTCTGTTAATAATTTCGAATAATAATGTACACAAAAATATATAAATATCACTTGATTTCCTCAATAAACGATCTGCTGCCTGACACTTGTTTTCTGTCGTTCCAATCATATGTGTATAAATAAAACTGGAGAATGTGATGAAGTTGTCGGAATAAATATTCGTTTTTCATTATTCAGTCTTTTGAAATTTATAATCGGCAATTTATTCATAATATATAAGCTGCTTTTCGAACATTTTGCTCAATTGTTCTTCTTTAATAGGTTAGACCATACACAAAACACTCAGTTATTATACTGTTTAGTTGCTCGTGATTGTTGAACATATCGTCAACTACAGAATATATCATGGTCATTAGTTACATTTACATAAATACGTTTTGTGAGCTAAGGAACGTGATTTCGAAGTTGCAAACTGTTTACAAATTCAGTCGCGATTTAATTGTTTAAGTCTGTCTGTCTGACGAATAAATCTTAATTTATTAAATCTCCCAACACCTGGAAATTACACTATTGTGGCTTTTGTTAAGATACCAACTAAAGTCATTCTGGAGAAGCATTTTCTCGGATACCTAATAAGTTCACTTCATTATTTCCCTGCCGAAATACTTTTAGGGAAGTATAGCTGCCTTCATCAACATTCATAGCACCTGTTTTTACCTCTGTAGTAGCACCATCTCCAGTCGCTCATCGAAATAAGACTTGCAAATCAGCCGCTCAATTTTTATAAAGCCGAGTAATCTAACAGTTCAAGATGAATTCGTCGCATCCCTCCCCGGTAACGAGAAACCACGGATTGTGTCAGGTGGATGCTAAGTCATGCAACTGGCGACTTAAGTCGTCATGAGAAAATGAGAAGTATGCTACAAATCCAAAATCTTGATGGATTTATAAAAATAGGTTCGCATATAACACTTTTCAGTTGAACAGACAATATAATTGGTTCGTCATTCGGAAGCACATTTTGCGATCGTTGGACTCACAGTCAATAGACAGTGTAAGCTCACTGCCGAAAGCGGCCGGAAATGATTCGGTGAAATTCCGTCTGGCACTGCTGCCTTCCCGGCCGGTGTTCAGTAGCCTGATCAAATTCAAGATTTCTTCTTTCGTTCGAGCATTGATGTCCATTTGTAGGGAGTTCTGTGCGTACTGTTGTTGGTGGTGTATTTCAGGCTGAGTTGCAGATGATGGGCGATTCAAGAGTCCTTTAAATTGATCAACCCATTGTTTCGTTTTTATCTCTTCCTTGGTCATTAGGTTCTCTTGGACATCTTTTATAGGTTTCATCTGCATTGGTCTCTTCCCGCATAGAAACCTCTGTGGGTTCTGAGGTCTCTTTTACTTGCGGCCTGACTGTCCTGCTTCAGTTGCCAGTATGCCATGGAATTGTGTCTTGTCTTTCCTAGCACTCCTCTCTTTATTCGGTGCAGTGTACATTGAACTCAGCTTCTCCTTCTGTTCTGTTGTCCATCTTTGCATTGAGTCATCTTCTCTTTCACCATCCTCCTTTCCTCTCATCGATTAGCTTCCAGGTAGGTGTCCGTTGAGAGCCATTCCTTGTCTTGTTTCTTCCTTCTTCTTAGAACAGTTGTATACGTTTCCTTGAAAATCACCTGCCATCAAAGAGTTCCAATGGTCTTCCACTTAGGTGTCCTCAGTGATACCACGTAGTGTATCCGACTTTGATCTGATGCATGCAGTGAATATATCTTTTGTAGTTTTATGCTTCAGGTTCAGACAGTTGAACTTGAATTGTGGTCTACCTCCAGTTGTTTTGAAGGATAACAGCTTGACCGTGCCTTGAACTAGGTGATGGTTTGGACCCACATCTGCTCCCCTTCTCGACTTGGTCTAAGTGGCTGCGTCTCCACTTTCTTGAGACTGAGATGGAAACTAACTGGCTTTAGTTGTTTCCGTTAAGCGAAATCCATATTTCCTCATGTATACCCTTCTGCTGATACACGATGCTTCATTAAATGGTATTAAGCCTAATTATAGGTGCATGGTACTAGATGTTTATAACCTTCCTTTTGAGTTGAGTATTGCTGTCATTATGCTGGATGAAGTTGGTTCCCACTGTATAAGTGCTTTGGCTCCCACAGGCGACACCATTATAGCTACTCACTCTCAGTGTGCTAGTGGTTGTCGTCCAGGTATCCGGACCAGAGTAGGATACTAACTCACCAGTTATTATTTATTATGCAGTCAGAGAATCGATCTGTTTTTCAATTTGATCGCAGGAATTATAAACTTGGATAGATTGCCATTGTATCCTAATTCAGTGAATAGTAAACCTATCCGATTAACGTACTCATGGTTGAATATGAATTTATTTAAATTGTACTTTCAGCATGCACAAGGGTGTGTTTTGGAAGTGATGCCTATTTAATGTTTCAGAGAAGAAGTCGTATGCTGTTATGACATTTAAATATTTCTATCTGAACGTAGAGATACTCACTGCATGTGACGAGTCATACTACTTGATAACAAATAAAAGTAACAATACCATCAATGTCAACAAGCAGTTTTCAGAATATATGGAGGTTTGAATATATCTAAGCTTATCTAGTTGTACTAAAAATAGCGGGATTAATTAGAACCGTATCAGAAGAAGTTCGAAGTATCATCCAGTTATTAATACTGCATCACTATGTGTTGTAGCGAATAAACTTATTTAGTATGGAATGCTACTTTATCATAATGACTCAACCCTACATCTAGGAACCCAATGCCGAACCAGGGAGCACTTAGATGATATTGGCTATGATTAATCACTCGACGATATGTCCATTTCAAATGGATCTGTTCACAGTGTATATAAAAGAAATCATTTTTCAATGAATCGACTAAATATTTTATAGATTTACAGAGATGTCCATAACTTTCAGTAAAACAGTGAGAAAAAAGTGAACAGCAATAACAAACATCTTTATTAATTCAATTATTCTGTTCTCCAGCGATGTACATAATATATCCATAAAAGTGTAATACCTAAGTGTAAAATAAATAGATATATCCATCCTGTAATAAATAGGAAGTCTTGTCTTTTAGGCCAGTTTATTGATTGCAGTTTACCAAATTTTAATGATTCAGGTAGATAAAGGTAAGGTGCATCTTCTAAGCCGATTGTACTCCAATCATCCAAAGCTTCAGTAGTTAACAGTGATTCACCTAATTCATATTCAGTTACTGGTCTAGCATATTCACGACTATATAAATCACATAGTTTAAGTGCTTCTATAAGACGTTTTCGTGTTATTTGTGATAAATTGCTGTAGCGTTTGGAAGCTAGCTAGAATTATAACAATAAGAAAATAGTTAGAATTTGAACATTATATATATATACGCCTAGACATGACTTCAGTCCGTAAAGCCTTCAACTGTCGGCTTGAGCTACATAGGGAGGTGTGAACTGCCGGACTGGAGTCATTGGGATTCTCAAAACCGATGGCTGGAAACGGTTTGTCAAATAGCTCAATAGCACAGATGTATTCACCTTTTGTAATCTCGAATATCCATTAAATCCCTATGTTTTTCCATGTTAATATTCTTTCTCCAGTACATTTCTGCTGCTTATAGTTCTCTTCAATTTCTTCTCTTTACCTTTACATACTATGTGGAATTTGAATTTTAACAATTCTGTGGAAAGTTGTATCTTAAAATCTAGTCAATCGAATAGGAATATCATTATGTAGTAGCTAGTAAGCGTTTTAGGAATCTTTAAGTCATTGTAACTTACACATGTGCTACTGTTTCAGATTAAAACTACCATGAATAAATTTGTAGGCATTTTAGGAACCGCTGCCAAGTTTTAAATGAGAAATTCGCGTTTTTCGCATTGAGAGACCAGTTAAAACTGACCAACTCTCCAATAACCTTCAGATGCGTTGATGGTTCACTGTCAGAATGCTCGCACGTGGTCCGATGACGCATCCCAAAAGCCCGCCTAGTCGTTACTGATCCTATAAAAGAGGGAAGGTTGAACGCAAGGCAGGCAACCCCATCGCTTAAAATAGAATAATACCACCGCTACTGGAATTTCAAAGCTTGAAACCCTGTGTTCCACTCCGAACACAAAAGAATAAAACTAAGCATTTAAAAGATGTTCGCTTCGTTCTTATGAAAACTGTTGATCTGGAAGACACATTAAATCCATATATAAGAGGGGATTTAAAAAAGTCAGTTAAAGTGGTTTACGGAAGTTTAAACGACTTATTTGGCAAAATAACAGGACAACCATAATATTTTATGTGGCTTTTCTTGCGGTGCCTTACCTCTTAAAATATCAGAAAATGCCACACGAACTTATTCGATGTGCATGTTAAGTTCAGTTTTGATGTTTAGAAATAGCGAACATTGAGTAGCCCTACGAAATGCGTGTATTTCATAACATGAAATAGTGAAGACATTGTCTGAGGAAAACTAATTAGATCTAATACACACCTCATTTTCTGTTTGCAAACTTTTATTTTAATATTGTAGTAAATACCTATGAAAGGCTTTGAGTTAGGTGTTTAGATCAATAAATATGAGGGTAAGTTAGATTTCCTACTCATAAGATATTTCAATGCAAACTGAACCATGACATTTACTTCTGTGTTGAATATCGAACAATTGGGTTACTAGTTTTTGTTGATTGCAAGAACTATTTATAGAGCGGCAAATGTTGCTATTTAACTTACTGCAGTCAGATCACATTCAGTATATCTAATCTTTCTTGCTTGTCCAATACATTTTTGATCAAGAGCATTAATTAAACAAGTACGGGTTTTTTGACGATAAGCTTTTCTATGACATACTTCACCTATTTCAGGCCATATACAACTTGACCATTTGGACCATGTACTCCAGATAGCCGGTAATGGTTCTATTTCACAATTTACTCCAGTATAACCGTAGATACAAATACATTTATACATTGTTGGATCATTTGGATCTTGTATGCATTGACCATGATTTTTACACGGTTGGCTTCTACTTGTATCGTGCTCACCACAAGCTGGCATTGGTACACATTGGGGTTCTCCTTTACTTTTACGTTGATGTGTTGAAGGGCATAGACAACTGTTATATTTGGGGAAAGAAAGAAAAAGTGAAGATAAGGGGAAGAAAATATAGCTGCGTAACTAATCAACACATCTGTTATCTAAACAATTACTGCTATTCAGATGAGTTGATTTAAATTTTTTAGCTTGCACAAATCAATCCAAGTTAGCTTAAAAATCCCCAGTGAGTATTATTAAAGGAGAGATGTTCAGCGAAATCATTCTCAAACTGTATAATTGCATATATTTAGAAAATTTTCTCAGCAAAAAAAGGAATACTTCCAAAGATTTGTCATTAGAACTGTAAATTTTAGATAACAAATTATGTAATATAAAAAGCTTTAGTCAGCTAGGAACTAAAATAAAATAAGTAAATCGAGTCGCGTAATGTAAGTGATGAGACTATGTAGAAATTAACTGAAACTGAACGAGAATAATAATAATAATAATTTGCCTTATTCCAGAAACAGTACTAGTGGTACAGCGTGGAATTTTCAGCACATATCTACAATATTGCATCTAATTTTGGTGGAACTTGCCTTCTGATTGGTCCTAGTAGGTCTACTAAACATTGGGAAGTGTGATGATGTGGTGAATTCATCATATCGAAAATAATTTGGAAAGGCATGCTTTTCTTGTGTACTTACGGCAGTCCATAGAGTCGGAATATGTTTGAGCCAGACGGCCTCAGGGATTCGAACATTTTGGTGTCGATGAGTGATTAAGTTTTTAGATTTCGGAGAATGGCCGTTAGTTTTTGTTCAGTCTGCTCCATCATGTTCTTTTCTTTGACTGTTTTTGTGACTTAAGAACCGTTAAACAAGATGGTTAACATTTTACTAACATATTTCTCGTAATTAATGATTATGATTCCCGCACCTTTATCAGGGCTTATCAGCATGATCTCTTTAGAGGTTTTTGATTTTTTTCAGCTCTTTACAGTGTTTTTTGGTTATTATGGTCCTTCCTCTTGATTTGGTACTTGTAAACTTGTGAAAACTGTCAAGGAACGATTATTTTAACTGTTATAGGCTCTCTGTAGATGTTGGTACCATACATTTAACTTGATTTATCAGGTTTTCAGAATATATCTGGAATTTTAGCTTTTCAATGTTTGATGGTTTTGCGCAGAATTTCGGAACTACGGATAGTACCTGTGGTTGAACTGTTGGAAGTTCAATGTTTGAAAGATTAAATTCATATTTTCCCGGCCGTACTCAGCGTTTGCTATCCAAACATATCATCGAACACTTACCCTAACGAATTTATAGTGGGGAAAAAAGATCGCGTGATAGTTCTATCCTGGAACACCTAATCGAATCTCGACACCAAGCTAACCCACAAACCAAATTCAGAGTCATATACTAAAAGAGTACACATCAAACTCTTTCAAACCGCAGAAGTAATGACAATTCGCTGTGCATACAGAAATATATTCAGTCACTAAATCTACAGTGGACCTGATCTGTCTTAACCCCGGATACATAATTTCTGTTTTTGTTCTTGAATTTTATCATTTTCTATACTTTATTGTAAAGTCTATTTCACGTGTCATAATTTCTGCTACAACTTTTACACATGTATCTTTGTTCTGGTGGCATAGTGAAATTACTGAGCTACCTGATTATCCACAGAGCACTAAGCATGAAATTTACTCATGTTATGCCTTTGTAACCACCTTTTTACGTCTTTGAAGGTTAATCTGTATTAACATGCATTTTTAAGTGGATTTCAGCATACCGTTTGGTGTCATTGATATAAGAATAAAACTTGTGCACTGTGGTAGAGTGTAATTCCATTATGGGTAAATTTTGTTTTGATAAAGTCTCACAGTGTTACACAGTAATGTTTACTGATGATGTTTCGAGCACAATTTATTGCTCATAATCAAATCAAGGTATGTGAGACTTTATCAAAACAAAATTTACCCATAATGGAACTACCGTTTGGTGTGTTCTGAAAGAATAAATAAGTCGGGGGTTGTGACATGTTGCCGACACAACATAATCCCTTCGAAATTTATACTGTAGATTACTGTTTTTGCTGAAAATTCTGTACAAGGAATAGATAACATCAAGCCGGAAAATCTGTGCTGAATGTAAACATGTTGCGCAGAATAAATCTATTATTATTATTCTTATCCAGCTATTTTCTCTTCCGTATACTTTCGTCTAGTATCTGTCTCTTGCATTTACATTATCAAATAGCTGCTGCACCTTCATACAAACTTCTATGTTAATAATTTTGTTCATTTCAAAGTAGTATAAAGGAAATTATTTGAGAATTAAATTGTATTTCAATGACAGCAGTCAATACTCACTGGTAACCATAGTCTAAATCATTGGCATCACGTGCACAAGGAAATGGACTACACTTTGCCTCATCTTCACAAGGATCTCTTTCGTGTTCACACTGTTCACCTTTAAAAGCAGGTGGACATTTACAGAGTATAGATCTCATAGGTGCTGATTTGTCTAAACTTCGAACACAAATCCCACCATTTGCACATTGGCTACCGCTATAACAACCATATTCTTCTTTTGCATCCGTGCAAGTATTTAAAATTTTATCAAACTAAAAGAAATGGTAAACAATCAATAGTGTAATGATATTGATACTTGTTCAAACCAGACAATGAATTATTCATCAAGTATTCAGATCACAATATGTGTTTCCAAGGGTAACAGTAATGGAGTTTCACACTGAACTGATTATTTGAAAATGAAGAAGGTGATTCTATGTATTACTTATTCGCTTAAGTAGCTAGCCAGAATTCGAGCAATTTCAACTGATACGGCTCCTGGAGGTAGCCCCCAAACGAGCGATACCGGCGTCTAACGTTTAGGTCACTTCAACCTAGCTGGAAGATGCTATTATTTGATATGACTGGTTTCCAGCTCCTCTTACAAATCAATAAAATACAGCGTGGTGCTGAAAGTAGGACTAAAAAGTCCTTCTTGACATATAACATTTCTGAAGGGGTTAGTAGCAAACAGTCTGTCAATAGTTGCTTAGATTTATCTATATTGACACTACGATAGTCTGTATTTTCAAAACACTAAGAGACAGAGAGTTATAGTAAGTTACTGGATTCATTTGAATTTTTCGGTCTGGCTATGTGAAAGGGATTTAGAGACAGTCCATCTTTAGAGAAGCGACTGCAAAAACGAAAATGTTCTTCTCCAGTTTATCAATACTTTTCATAATTTTTCAAATAACTTCATGAAAAAAGTATCATAATCAATAAAGTGTAGTTAAAAGTGGGTGTTGATAATAAATTATTTCACATTTTTCATCGATCGCAATACCGTACTTCAAACTGAAGTATATGCCGAAGATGTTGCCTAGTAAGGCAATGAAAGCTTCGCAAGTAAACCATCCAGTTCAGAGAACACAACTACATCAAAAATTACTTACCAGGTATTTAGCTTCACATGGACAATAAGCTATAAGTGAACTTCTCCTCTGTATTTCAATTGCTTTCTCAAATAAACTTTTATTTTTAGCAAAGTGCATAAAAAATTCCAATGGAAGTCTGACTTCAACTGGTACACGTAATAACCAACTTCTTAAATTTTGTCTTATTTTATTTTCATCACCAGTTGAATTAATCTGTGCATTATGTAATAATTCATTGGTATATGTACCACAGAAGCCGACAGCATGCGGTACACTTTCACAAAAACTATTTGTTTTGCTACGACATACATCTGGACAATTTAAATGTGGATCAATATCACGAAAACATAAACCTAATCTAAAACGTGATATTTTGAAAAAAAGCAGTATCGTCAAGTGAAAAGCGGGAAGAAAAAGGGATATAAAAGCTTGAAGTATGTATGAAGATGTAGCATAAGGTAATCTCATAAAATAATCAGTTTACAGTTTCACTATTATTTAGCATGCATTGCTGATGTTCACTATTTAATTCTTCTGGTTAACCGAAAGATGCACGGTCAAGAATCCACGCCATTAAGCACGCTATCGAGTGATGTTACTGCACGATCCCTACTTAACTAAGCATGTATTCCAGTTTAAAAACGTTGATCCTTAAGTGTAGTTCGTATTTCGGTTGGCCCTAATTACTCTCTTGACCTATCTAACTAAATGTTTTCTGGTCCACGTTGGAGGATAGTATGCACATATTATAGCATCACTGTATCTTCCTGCTCACAACCAAACAAAAAATCTGTCTACTATGGTTTCTTACGTAAATTTTCTTTATATCTCATAACTTAGTGTTTTACACATGGTTTTCCAAAATTTTATTCGTTAATCTGGACGAATCTTTGTTGCTCTTGTCTAGTGTCTGTACAGTACTGGTCAGAAATAATCGAATGTGTTCTATTCCTTTGTTCTCTTTGTTATACACATAAATGGCACAAAACAGTCTGCTCATTCCAACATTTTTTATGCGTAAATCCATTCAATTAAGATCGCAAATTTCTTGGAGTTTACTGCCGTGATACATATTTGCTAGTAGTTGGATACACCAAAACGCATTTCTCCACATGAAATGGATTTGTGGGTCTTTAAAAGTCTACCTCACTTGAGTAGTTTATTTATCATTGAAGAACTCTCATTTCGACGGTATCCTATTAAAAATAAACCAATCTAGTTACACTCATTTTCATATGTAGTCGAGAGTTTCACAGTTGTTTTATTGTTCACAATTTGAAACTTTCATATTTGAGGGTAAATTGGTTATTCTAGTTAAATTTAACGTTTATTTATGTTACTGAATTGTGGTTATTTTTGACGATTACACAGAAAACTCACAATTCGTACCACTTACTACTTATCATATGAGCATACTCCCATACTGATGGGAGCACATGAGATGAATCCCCTAGGATATAAAAGGATTGGAATGTCTCTTAAGACTACTAAAGTAAGAGGAAACCTGCCATCGAGCTGCGACTTTCGGATTAACTTTAGATGTTTAGTAGTAATTATTAGAAGCTCCTCGACCTTGTTTTCATAATTATTGGTCAGCGGGGAAGATTCGAACGCGCGTCACCAAGTGTTGAAGTCACAGGCAATACTACTGCGCTACTTAGACCCTAAGATGACCTCCTGTACCACTGCAATTTTTTAAATCTGATTGATCAATGACAAGTAAACATATCATGTGCATAATTCTTAATCATTGTTTACAGATCAGTGCTTTCCAATATGGCGCACAGTCTATGGATTTTCTGAAGAACCTCAAGCTTTCATAATTGGAGTACTTTAGACTAACCGAATCCCATAATAATCCATACAGGACAGTGGTAGTGTTATTCTCCTCAGTCCCAAATGGACCTCAACAATTAATTTTACATGGAAATGTAAGTATTACTGAAATAATTAACAGTAATATTAACGACAGTTCATAAAACGTACCTGTATATCGTATCCAATATTGCTCTAAATGTTTCTGTGTTTCTTGATAATGGTCTGTTGAATACTTCTTTAACCCAGTTCAAATTATTCATAAGTTCACAGCTCATTGTCATAACAATGATATTGCCTAATTTGTTATATTCTGCTTGAATAACAAAATCTAGTAATTGTAAATATGTTGATGATTTCAGTATACTACTAGGTGGTACAGTCATTTCTAAATTCCTGTCTTCAATAAATCTTCCAGACATCAGTGTATCATAATAAATTTTAGCTGATTCTTCAATGAAGTTAACACGCTGAGCTTTTAAATTTGGTGTCCCACTGCATTTCCAGGCTAATGAAATTGGCCATCTTTCTTGGTAAACGAAATACAGAGGACTGTTGTTAACTTGATATTGCATTGTACACAATATAAGTAATACAATGATAATCATTCCGACAAAATTAGTCGTAATATTAGTAATAAAAATAGATCCCAGGAAATTCTTATAGACTAGAATACGAGATTGTGTTTTGTCGGTAGAATTGATTAGTTCATTTGATTATTGGATCAATAAATTTTGACTACATATCTTACATATTTTAAGGGTTTAGTTGTAAACAAAAGTAATACGTATATAAATTTAGCTACATTTGCATTGGCTCAAGAAGTTGACATTCAGCCAAGCGGTTGAGGATAAGAATATTTTGGTGGTCTGTAGCTTGTACAGCACAATATGCTCAATACACAAAAATAATTTAGATGATCATTTCTTTAGTAAATGTGCAATCACTTATTGTAGTGTAACAGTGATAAGAAAGATAATGACAAAAAGAATTGTCATATTACTAATAATAGTGAGAATCTTTAAAGGAAAATCAAAAATGTTAGTATTTTCAAATTCATAAAAATTTTTTAATTCAGATTTTGTTCCCTGATGTCATAAATCTTACAATTAATAAAAAGAGAATGAATGCCGTTCATTTTTACTTTAAGTTGAGATCAGCATCACAAGAGTAGACAACTGCCAGAGCTGATATCAGGTCTGAGAATTTTCCTAAATTGCTGGTTCTTTTCTATTACAAACTAACAGCATATGGATGTTAATATAGACGCTTTTGAAAATTGAAGCGATTGAAAAGGACCAACAACTAAGCTAAGTTTCACGTTGATTCGTTAGCTATATTTTCAAAAACAAAAGAAGTAAAGAAAGTAGACATCTCCCTTGACAGAATCTTGGTAGATATGTCAATCAATATCAGAAATTTGCAGAGCCCAGAGTGATGATTTTGTACACTTTTTAGTCAGATGACAAAAATGACACATTTTGCATATCTTTTGCTTTAATTGACATCTTTCTTTAACAACACAACTTTTCGCTACTTTGATATATACACTTGTTTGTTTCTTGTTGCGTTTTCTCACTCTCCGTGACTGCTCGTGTGCCAATACTAATTATTTGGTGCTTACTTTCGAATTCGCAAGAACCATCGCTTACTCACCCAAAGCGTACTCAACCACCCCTTCGGTGACGTCCTAAGAAGAGTGAAATGTCATAGAAGCCTACCTATTTAATGTACCACTGGATTACATAATTTAAATTGTGAAAGTCAGATTTGACCATAATTGCAAGCAACTGGAACTTTATGTAGCTTATTAACCTCTACAATTATGATGTACTTTTTAAATATTGTAGCTAATTTGATTTTTTTTATTTTGATACTTTACATGATAACCGAGTTAAGTGTTTAGCCCACCAAAAACTTGCTCAAATAATTTAATCGCAAAGTTTCTCAAGAAATCGAGAGTTATCTTTCAGAATTGGAATAATTTAAACTATCCGTTTTAAATTAATAAATTCTTCTTCAGGCTCTACAACTACAAATTCGTTAATTTTAGTATACTATACTTATCAAGAAAAAGAAATGGATAGTTTATAAGACTTGGTCGTGCGTCGGTGGCATAGTGGTTAGGACGCTCGCCGACCATGCACATGGTCCGGGGTTCGATCCCCGGCCACTGACGCACTCCTTTACGTCGCTAACCTAGAAATAACGCTGGTGAAGAGGAAAGGTTGGGCATGCGGCTAGCAACCCCATCCTGTAAAATAAGCACTGCTACAGAAACTTCAAGGTCCTAGCTTGAAGCACTATGTTCCACTGGGGAACGTGAAGGAAATTAAAAAAAAAATAAGACTTGGTCAGGTAGCCCTACGTCATCCAAAATGATTACCACTAAAACCATATTCTTGACACGGGTCATGATGTGGACGTCGAAAAGTCGTTCAAAATTATCAATAAGCAAAAGAGTTCAATGCTCCTTAAGTTTGCTGAAGCCTTTTCCATCAAGCGCCTAAAACCTGATTTGTGCGTTCAGAAAGAAGCGATTATCAGTCTTTCGTTGCCCTGGTAACTGGATATTTTTCATCCTAATGCGAGATACTGCCGATGATTCCCAAACTAGGATGAAACAGCAGCTGTCCAGTACTCCCTGGTTTTCAATGGTTTTCTAACTGATATCAGTCCGTGATCAACTCGTAAAACATAACTAATCCTTACAAACCAAACTATAGAAAATTAATCTGATGCTCGCTAGTGACTTGCTACAGGATGGAGTTCTAGTGAGAAGTCGTGACCAGTGAGGTCCAATTAGATGTCACGTGTGTGGATGGATGTCCCACCAACGACAATAGTTGGGGTCGCGCTAAAATCACGAATTGGTAGAAGTTAGAATTCATGAGCCATTGAATCGGGTCCCAGTGGCTGAATGGTATACGAGCTTGCCTTGTAACCGGAAGGTCCTGGGTTTGAATCCCAGTGGGTGCGTACTGCCGATGATTCCCAAACTAGGATGAAACAGCAGCTGTCCAGTACTCCCTGGTTTTCAATGGTTCTCTAATTGATATCAGTCCGTGATCAACTCGTAAAACATAACTAATCCTTACAAACCAAACTATAGAAAACATATATATACGTATATATTATTAGTGTATGTATATATTGATCGATTGATTTCTGTTTAAAATGAACTCTGTGCAAGATACATTTAGATACATTGAATAATGTTTTTGTCCTGTAAGCAGCTGAAGAGAAGGCGACGAAATAAAATATGGTACCATTTTATTCTGCTAAAACTGTAGCTGTTGCTTTGTTCAAATTCATTAAGGGGAACAAATGTATGAAAACCATATTCGCTTGGCAACAGAATTATAAGGGAGAAAATCAGAATATGTGTAAACTACACTTTAAAGTTAGGAGTTTCGAAAGAAGGAAGAAGAAATTATGATTAGATACTAAGTAGTAGCTAACGTCATGCTTCTAGTCCTTGGTGGTGGTGCATACTGAATTTATTCATTCAAATTTGCACTGTGACCGCAATGTTAGTTGGCTCGCCATCACGACGCACTCTGAAGTGCTGTTGGATATCTGAAGGCAGCAAGCCTCGGATTTGGATTTCATGCTTGTTTGCAACCATCAGAAAGTTGTGTCTGCAATCTTGAAGGAACTCATGTCCCTTGTGACTTGGTCAGAGACATCACCACTGAGCTATTCGGGTTCATTAACGTTTCTTCATGATTGCAGATATGCTTTGCTGAAGAGTGCCAACAAGTACTAAAACTAGGTCCAAGACTTCCTGTCAGTTGCATCCAATAATCTAACAAAGAAGAAGGGAAGAAAGAATGAAGGTGAACTACATACTATACAAACGTTGTAAGGTCACAGTATTAAAACAGACTGAACAAACTGCTTTTGTAATTACAGTCCAGGGTTTTCCTTGTGTTTAGAAGCAGCTTCAGATGTTGACAGAATACATACACTCATAGAAACCCTTCGAAAAACTTGACTTCACCAACTATGACAACTTAAAAGATTTCTGTCTTGATGCACAACGATGAGTAAAATCAGTGTGCTCAAGAACTCAGCTATTGGTTTGTCAAATTTGTATTTTCAACGCCCATATTGGGATATGTTCTTGTGCCCGTCTAGACAATAAAAATCCTACTGGCAAGACCTATGTACTCAGCTGCAAAAGAGTAAAAGATATGATATACATACATAGATCTTTCAAACAGTAGAACAATGTATTTGACATTTGGATTCATTGGAGGTTGCATCGAGACAAGACGTGAAGGTGCAGCGAAGAATATTTATTGAACTGCTCTCGATAGTCTACTCAGAAGAACCTAATCTGTTGTGTCACCTTTGAATCTCAGGTTTACAACCAGTTTATCTGGCACATTTATCCTTTATGGATTGTCAATTTTACGTTTAACACGTTTATTGATGAATGTCGGTGGCTAACTATTCCGAATCAGAATCTTTTAGGAGGACTGCAGTTCTCTACTCAGTATGTTTTTTTCTCATATGCTTCAGATTCTTGAGAGGAGGCGTTAAATGAAGTTTTTTTTATTTCTTATTTGATCGTAAAGATACGCTTCTACTATCCTCTTCAGTCTTTCAAAATGAATCAGAATTTGGTAGGTTTATATTACTACCTACTGAAGTTTCCACAGATTCAAATCATTTGAAATAGTTATGTACGTCAGTATGATTAACTTATAAGATAATGTGAGATGTGCATATTCCTTTTTGATTCCCTAGATGTCATTTAGATTCTATCAAAATATATTGTTATTCTGATGAAGGTTTCCATTTTATCAAATTATTCATAACTTTTTGGACGACAGTTTTGATTCAGATTAAAGATTTTTATTTGTGATTGCTAGTTAAGACGAGAAAAAAGCCACGTTTCTGTTTCCTCTCCCATTTGTACGACAGGCAAAGTCTATCACTGTTTTATGCAATTGAAACTCACAGAAAAAGAGAGAAGTCGTTGAACTCAAGCCTTCTTGCACAATGAACGGAAGCAACTACTCGCCTTCATACATAGCCAAATAGTTCATCGAATCTACACCCAACACGTGCAATAGGAATGAATCATCACTAATACCCGAAATATGGAAAATAATACTACCAATCAAATCAAGTGAAAATCAAGTGAAAAACAATGGAACTATATAAATGAATTTAGGAAGTTGTGTGATTACCTTGATATGATTATGAGCAATAAATTGTGCTCGAAACGTCATCAGTAAATATTACTGTATAACACTGTGAGACTCTATCAAAATAAAATTTACCCATAATGGAATTACACTCTACCACAGTGCCCAAGTTTTATTCTTATATCAATGATACTTATGGTCTTCCTACCAGGAAGCTTATCAACAAACTCACACGACTTTGTCAAACTGAAGCAAGATTCACAAATCATCGGATTTTTAACAGTCGATGTTTAAAAAATCATATAATTCCGAAATATTTACGTCTACGTACTCCAATTACTTCAAGTAAAATAACATCAGCTGCCGAAAATGTCAGTAGATTATGTCTAAGAGAAGAATTACATCGAGTTACTGTA